AACTCACACGAATGAATGTTTAATCTTTAATGAATAATGATTCCAGGTTCATAAATATTGCTTGTTTCTATCAAGATTCAGGGTCATTTCAATCTCAACTGCATGCTTTGAAAGAAAGACAACGCTGTATATTTAGTTAGTTTTCTGATATAAACACGGTTTATGAAACTTGGACAAGACACGGAGATTTCTTTGCAAGAAAAATATCGCACGTTTTCTGAATGGCGATGACACATACAGCAATACGAATAGACTTGTTTGGTTTTCAACTTCAACAATCTTCAATCTTGTAACGCGCTTTGGTTTGACTGAGAATTAAAGGTTGTCAACTTTTAATAAGCCAACTTTTAAATTGTTCCGCGTGCGAAAGATTTTAGAAACAGACAATATTAGAGTCGATGTATAAAAAGAGAATGTATGTGTCTAATTCAATTGTTTGTTTGCCTCGAGGCTTTTGAATTGAATCTTTATAAAGAACGCCCAATTCAAACCCTCGAATTCTGATAATTTATTATTCAAAATATTGACTGTATATTAAAATTTTACGAAATTACTAAAAAATTAAATGATTTAGCTCTGTGCCGCGCCACAGAATAAACACGGGTACTCTTAAAAAAGGAAAAAAATACGACCAACGCCGTGACAAAACTTACCTTCTCAAATTTTGAAAGCGAGAATTCCACTACATGGCAAAGATTCCCCGGAAATATAACAAACAGATGTGTGGAAATGAAGACTTGAATGTCGTGCGAGTGTCATGTAGTTATGGAATTTGTGTATTTAGGGGGTCATTTTCATGTGCAGAAAGTTCATATTATTCATTTCATTGTAAAAAATGGTCGATTATAGTATATAAAATAAACTATTTCGTTTCTGGGAATGCTGAATTAGTTAATCCCGAAGTATTAATCCCACATCTTAAACTCTTCAATTGCAACCGTGTATATACAGAACGAAAGATTCAGGGTCTTTGGTATAAATAAAATGAGTGGCGATAACCTGAATTGTACTTCATAAAGTGTCGCCTCATATAACAATGCTATATCTTTATTACTTCACTCAAAAATACAGCGAATTTAAAGTAACTATAACAAAATAATATAAAGACTGGGTTCCACTGTCTAACCCCTGGTAAACACCACGTCCGCCCCGCATACTTCGTCTTTTTGCTTCGCTCACGAGGAAAGAAGTTATGGCTGACTCAGCTGCCGAAGAAAAAGGTCCTAACTCAGGAGAAATCTCAGGTAAATCGATCTCTTCAGTGCTGCAAAGCACTGAGTTTATCACCGCTCTTACGGAATCTCTACTTCCAAAATTAGTAGAGAGTGTTAAAAGCTCGTTTAGCGAGTCAAGTGATCCCGACAATGCTGACGAACAGTTGACCGGTATGTCCTCCGGTTCACCAAAAGGAATTGCTTCACCCAGCTTGAACTCTGGGTTACCAAAACGTTCTTCTACTCCCAGCTGCGCCTCTGGGTTACCAACCGGCAAAACAGGTGAACCACCAAGAAAAATAATACGGGTGGACCTAGATGAGAACGTAAATGCTGAAACAACTGAACAAGAAAACTCGCTCGTAGATGAGAACGATGATTTTTTCGCGCCAGACCCCGAAGATGACACGCTGGCGTCGGTGTCCGAGCGATGGCCAGCGTCTGATGAACTGTCAGCTTTACTTAATACTTGTTTCGGCAAACAGTTATCTGGCTATGATAAACGTCAAGTGGTTCGCTCATGTCCTCGCCCAAATGTGGACAGCGTGTACACACCATTACTAAATTTCTTCCTGACCTTTTACCTAAGTGCAAAGTGGAAGATAAATCGCTACGGAAGACCCAGGACCTTGTTCTAGACGTCGTTGGTCCGGTAGCAATGGCCTATGAAACTTTAATTCAGGCCAGAGATGGAAACTCTGAAGTGAGTGTTGGTATAGTATTGAAATACTTAGCAAAATCTCTCCAGCTCCTTGGCAATGCTAGTAACCATCTTTCTAGCAAACGTCGGACCCAAGTACTTAGTAAAGTGGGCCAGAAATACACCTCATTGTCTCAGGAGTCATGGGATAATACTGGCAAAGACCTGTTTGGTGAAAAATTTGAACTTCGTCTGAAGCAACGAACAGAAACAGCAAAAGCAATTTCATCTGCAACCTTTGCACCTCGAGGCAAAGGGTTTTTTCTACGGGGCACCCCCTCAACACGGTCCTGGCAGCGAGGGGGGGGGTGTACGGTGGCCGATAGGGGTCATTCGCGCAAGTAAAGAGAAGTCACCCCACAATAACCCGAAGCACATCAACAAATGCGAGATTCACACCACAACTTCACGATTCACGCCACAATTTCAAGATTCACGCCACAAAATTCACGATTCACGCCACAAAATTCACGATTCACGCCACAAAATTCACGATTCACACACCACATAGAAACCGCTGACCCACCACCGTCTCACAACATTAAATTCCCTTTTTCCCGCCTTTTTTGCGAGCACAACAATTTCAAAGGCACTGAGTCAAAGGCCATCAAGAAAAGCATGGCTACCTGTTCGTCATGTTCTTTCGAGCTGTCTACTTCATACAAGTTTTGTTCACGTTGTGGGCAGAGTCAAACAGGAGAAAGCAAGCCTACCACTTCAACTCCGAGCGTAAAAAGATCTATTAATAAAACGTTAGGATATAAACAGTTTAAAGAGCTGAAAAGCGAGAAACGAGCAACATATTTTAGACGTGAGAAGAAAACTAGAAGTGCAGAATCCGTGGACGACAAAGTTACAGTGAACGTCGGTTTCATGAGATATGATGGCGTGGAAATGAAAGGACAGAGAGGTAAATCGTTGCCGCTTACTATTACAAAGTCTAGTGGTAGAAAGGAACTTATGGATGCTGCCTTCGCTAAATTAAAGGCTCACAATACAGGGGAAATTAAATCTATTGGAGACTATGAACTTTTGTACTCAGATGCAACAGTTGTCGAGAAGCTTCGAGAGTCTGACGAACCTTTTGTACTTCATAAGTACAAGAAAGAGTATGGGAAACCTTACAGTCGGATTACATTTTACCTATCATTAAAAACAGATTTGTTCAACTATAGACTTACTGCACTGAAGGAGACAGTTTTTAGTTCCGACACGAGTGAAAGCGATTCAGAAAGCATTCAAATCAAGAAGTCAAAAACAGAACACGACTGTAACACACCATCGTTGCCATCCGCATCGGCTCCAAATACCAAGAAACCAGTTTTCAGTCAAGTTATTGATGCTAATTCACCTATGACATCACCAGACACAGATTTAAAGCAGAAGATAGTCATTGACAAAGAGCAGGCAGAACCAAAAGAGACTGAGCAAATTGAAACAGATGCTGCTATTGCATTGGCATTACAAATGGAGAATGTAGATAATACTTATGCAGCACTTTTCACTGTTGATGATCCACAAGATGAACTGTCCACTAATGAAGAGATATATTCTGATGATGCACTGGAAATGTCTGCATCTGGCAAAGATGATGCTCAAACTCCCACAATCGAATTAGTGGTAAAAGAATTAGCTCAGCAAGTTGATGTTAGTAATATTACTAAGTTTAATGTTGTCCGTACTAACATCTTTAATAGTGCAAAACGAGCCCTAAACCGTAAAAGATTTGATCCATGCCATAAGGTGTCAGTGAAGTTTATGGATGACATAGGCTCCTCAGAGGGGGCTGTTGATATGGGAGGCCCTAAACGTGAATTTTTTACTTTGTTATTGCACAGTTTGTTGTATGAGTCACCATTATTTTTTGGGCATGAAAATTCAAGATATATTTCTTTAGACCAAAAATCATTGGAGGAGGAAGATTATAAGTTAACAGGTATCCTTATTGCACTTTCACTTGTGCATGGAGGACCAGTCCCACATTGCTTGTCATATCCCCTATTTCAAGCATTATTGGGTGGTGTTCAGGGGGTAAACCCAACACTAGCTGATATGGAAAATATACATGATGCAACAAAAGATGTTATCATCTCACTGAATGATGTTAAACCAGAATGTGTAAATACATTTATTGATGCTAATGAAAGACTATCAACAGTTGTAGATCTTGCAGGTGCATGGAAACCAGTAAAATCTCCTGAAGATAAGTTAAGCATAATAAATAACCTTATAAAATGGTTCCTATTAGGTAGAAGTCAGTGTGCTATCCAGCAATTTCAGGAAGGCCTTGCAATTTTGGGATTGTTAGATAAAATGAGGGAATTTCCAAATTTATTTAGCCAATTAATGTGCTACTCCCCAAACAGGCTCACTGTTGAGTGTTTTGAAGCTAGATTAAGTTATGATAGAAGTGAAAGGGGCTCCAACTCTTTTCAAGTAGAGAATGTGGTATTGGGCTTCTGGGGTGACTTCTTAGTAGATACCAGTGAGGGTGAATGCCAACTACAACTCAAAGATATACTGATGTTTATAAGTGGATGCTTTGAGTTTCCTCCCCTTGGTCTGGAGATTACAGTAAAGTTCTTGCATGAGGAAAGGGGATGTAAATTTCCCAAAGCCAATACTTGTACTTGTGAATTAAGTTTACCAGTTCAACATACCACATATACAGCTTTCAAAGATGACATGACATTTGGCATTCTAAATTCTAAAGGTTTTGGACAAGCTTAATATTTTTATATGGGTTAATTAATAAACCACTTGTAGCATATATATGGGTTCAGAGTTATGTAAAAATCAGTGGAATTAAGGCGAAGATGTTTAGGCCTAGTATGATCAATTTAGGTCTTAATGATGTAATTAGCATAAATGAAGAAAATTTATGTCCCTGACAGCTAAATTCTTCTGAATATTCTGCTACCATTATGTTGTATGAAAGCTATTATAAAGCAACTTAGCCAACTTATTATATATATTAATCTTTATTGTTCACGTTATTGTTTACATGAAATTAATTTTGTAAAAATTCAGTATTTTATATAGTAGATACAAACATTTGACATTTGTGGACAAAATGGTACAGTTAGTCTAATTAGTTTGACTGAAATGTTGTGTTTTAAATAAAAACTGTTACTCAAGTTTAGCTATTCTTGTTCAGCTATTTGTTTTAAAATTGCATATAAATCCAAAGCACTTTTCCAATCAGTAGGCTTTTCTAATCCTTCTGATGTACAAACATAGTTAAAGTACTCCTGGATATCCTGATTACCTTGATCTATTGGATCAGTAACATGTTGTCTGACCTCATTAAGCTTTTCAGGATCAACAGGCTGTTTTTGATCTTCACTATTATGACGTTCTGGTACGTAATACAACTCATCTGGCCGTCCTGGAACAGTCTCATGCCTTGATGAACGAATGTAGTGATTGTTCCACAGGGCCTTTGTGTAGTTAAGGTCTTCCTGAATAATATCACTAAAACCAAACCACATACATTCTTTGTGAATCACATTTTCATATTCAAATTGACCACTATCCATGAGATCTTTGAAGAGGTTTATCCACCATGATGATCTGGATTTTCTAAAACAAGACCACCATGCTTCAATGCGCTGGTTTCGCTTTGATTCACCATACCTATGAGCTTTTTCTCCTGCATACTCATCCATAGCATCTACACGGAAATAGCACTGTGCTGCAGCAATATTGCCATTTTCTGTACCACAGTCACTCTGCACTATAAGAGGGCATCCTTCATTTTCTTCAACACAATCTAAGTAGAAACGTAGTACTACAGATGGGTCATTATTTGATCTTGAAACGTGCAACCACATGACCTTGCGGCTGTATCCATCCACACACCCATGGATTGGGAATCCAAAATCCTTCAACTTGTCATACCCATCAATGTGCCAGGTATGGTTAGGCCCCAGGCTCCAGTAACTTCGGCGTCTTAACTTTCTCCTTTTTCGCAATTCACAACCATCTGGATCAATTTCCTTCATAAGACTTTGTACAAGGTCTCTAGTGCTGTTAACCCATGGCCCATTCTGAGAGAATGCCACATGGATCTATACCAAAAAACAACCAGGGCCATCCATTTCTTTTCTTATGGCTTCTCTAATTTGGTCAACATCAATAGCATTCCCACTTCTTGCTAGATTAAACGTTTGCAACCGACGTTTAAGCGTAGATAGTGACATGTCTATATTATGATACTTAGACATTAATTGAAGCATACATGAATATGTGAAGCCGCAATAAAAATACATTTCAATAACATCCCTTTCGCTTATTTCTTCCTCTTCAATAACACTTTTTCCACATTCGGGACAAAAATTAAAGAAATCTTGGAGATTTTCTCCGCACTGTAAGCATAGACGATTGTTGTCAGCCATGCTTAAAACATATATCTGCCTATTTCAGTATCTACTTGTTTTCAGTCTGTGACAATGATAAATTTCTTGGCAAAAGGCGGCAATTTAATGTTGTGAGACGGTGGTGGGTCAGCGGTTTCTATGTGGTGTGTGAATCGTGAATTTTGTGGCGTGAATCGTGAATTTTGTGGCGTGAATCTTGAAATTGTGGCGTGAATCGTGAAGTTGTGGTGTGAATCTCGCATTTGTTGATGTGCTTCGGGTTATTGTGGGGTGATTTCTCTTTACTTGCGCGAATGACCCCTATCGGCCACCGTAGGGGTGCAAGCAACTTCCGCAGGAACTTTCAGTTCAGAAGCCAGTCCTTCAGGAGGCCTTATCGTGCAAGGGGGAGATCAAGTGCGACTTTCAGCCAACCACCTCAGCAAAACTGAACAATCTTCCATTAGCAACAGGTATGTTTTCAAATATCGACAACAATACCCAATTCCCTCTAGGGGGAAGGCTTCTTCACTTTTACCAAAACTGGGAAAAATTAACAACCGACCCATGGGTTTTAGAAACAATACAAGGTTACAAAATCGAGTTTGTCACAACACCCAAACAAACCTCTATTTCAAAAATGCAAATCACTCCAGCACAAAGCTCAGTGATAAGCGAGGAAGTACAAGCTTTGTTCGAAAAACATGCAATTTACAAGGTCCAAAACTCCAATATTCAAACCGAAACTCAGTTCATAAGCCCCTTATTCACTGTCCCCAAAAAGGGAGGGGGGCACAGACGAGTCATAAACCTCAAGGACCTGAATTACTTTGTAGAGTATCAACACTTCAAAATGGAAGGAGTGACAATGCTAAAAGACCTATTAAAACCCAACGATTTTATGACAAAAATAGACCTAAAAGATGCCTCACAGTTCCAATTTGGCACAAACACAAAAAATTCCTTCGTTTTCTGTGGAAAGACACTCTTTGGGAGTTTGCATGTCTTCCCTTCGGATTGGCAAGTGCCCCTCGGACATTTACAAAAATTCTCAAACCAGTGGTAGCCCAGTTAAGGAGGATGGGAGTAAGACTGATAATTTACCTAGACGATATCCTGATAATGGCAGAACCCAAAAACCTTTGCCGGGAACATACTCAGTTGTCAGTCAGATTACTGACAAGTCTAGGGTTCATAGTAAATTATGCCAAGTCAGTGACAGAACCCAGTCAGGAACTAGAATTTCTGGGATTTCAGGTAAACTCCAAGTCAATGTCCCTAGCCCTCCCCAAGGACAAGATAAAGGGAATAATGAAAGACTGCCACAGAATACTAAACAATCCATATGTGTCAGTCAGAACCCTATCACGCCTAATAGGAAAACTGTCGGCCTCTATTCAAGCGGTATTTCCTGCCCCTCTCCACTACCAGTCTCTCCTTCGAGCAAAAAACGTAGCTCTGAGACAGTCTCAAAGCTACGAAGTCATGGTGTCTTTAAACCAGGCAGCTCAAGAAGAGCTACACTGGTGGAAAGACCATCTAGCAGCCTGGAATGGGAAATCCCTACTGAAAAGAAAAGAAGATCTCACCATAGAGACAGATGCCTCAAACCTGGGTTGGGGGGCAGCTTGCAGCGGAATGTTGACCGGGGGAGTTTGGTCACAACAAGAACGTTTCCAACACATCAATTGCCTCGAACTCATGGCAGGGGGGTTTGCAGTGAAGTCATTTTGCAAAAACAAAGCCTCGATACAAGTAAAATTACTGATGGACAACACAACTGCCATCACTTACATCAACAAAATGGGCGGGCCCTCCCCAGTTTTAGCAAGTCTAGTTTACGAGATATGGCAGTGGTGTCTTCAGAAAAATATACATCTCAGTGCACATCACATTCCAGGGGTTCTCAACACTTCAGCAGACCAAGAATCCAGGGTCGACAGAGATGCAGCAGATTGGAAACTGAATCCAATCATCTTTGCCACCCTGAACAGACTATGGGGGCCCTTAGACATAGATCTTTTTGCCACCAGGTTAACAAACCAATTACCAAGGTTTGTCAGTTGGCGGCCAGATCCAGAAGCCGAGGCGACAGACGCATTTTCAATAGACTGGTCAATAGTAAAAGGGTATGCGTTCCCCCCTTTCAATCTAGTGGGACGGTGTCTGTCGCAAGTCAATTCACAAAAAGTTCACCGGTTGTGCCTAGTAACACCAGTGTGGGAAACCCAACCATGGTACCCAGTACTTCTCGAGATGAGTGTGGATTTCCCATGCTTGTTTCCCAAGGGAGCATGGGTTCTGAACAAAGGGGAAATGCCTCACCCCATTGCCCATCTCCAACTAGCCGGGTGGCTTATCTCAGCAAACAGTACTTGTCAATGGGAGTTTCAAAACAAGCTCAAAACCTGCTTGTCTCCGCTTGGCGCAACCAGACCTCTAAGTCATACCAGTCAGCCTGGAACTTGTGGAGTAGCTGGTGTAATCAACAAGAAATTGATGCCTTTTCAGCCTCTGTGCAACAAGTAATCAATTTTTTGGCTAACCAATTTGAGATTGGCAAAGAGTATCGCACCATTAATGTCTATCGTTCAGCTATTTCCATGACTCTCCCAAAAATTGAGGGTGTTAATATAGGACAACACCCCCTTGTATGTCAGGTCATGAAGGGCATTTTTCACAAAAAACCACCCCTTCCAAGGTATACAACTACTTGGGATGTGTCAAAAGTGCTTGTTTACATGAAGTCTTTAGGGGATAATGTTTCGTTGACAAGGAAGCAACTCTCGGAAAAACTGGTTGTTTTGTTTGCTCTAACATCTGCAGAGAGAGGTTCAGAATTAGCCGGACATGATCTTCGGTATCGAACCTTTTACCCAGAAGGAGTGGAATTTAAACTTCCAATTGTAACTAAGTCAATCCGTGTAGGTAAATCCCTAAAAACCTCATTTCATGCTAGTTTCCCAGATGACAAGCAATTGTGTCCCTGTGAATGCTTAAAGGCATATGAGATGTCAACATCGTCTTTTAGGGCATCAGATCCAGCACTGCCGAATAAATTATTCCTATCCGTTATTAAGCCACATAGCCCGGTCTCTTCCTCGACTCTAGCACGTTGGATCAGAAAATTCCTCCAAGACGCAGGTATAGATTCTGATACGTTTAAAGCTCATTCTACAAGAGGAGCTTCGTCTTCAACAGCCGCTAGAGCAGGCTTATCTGTCAGCGATATCATAAAAATGGCTGACTGGTCAAGTGATACCACCTTCCGTCGCTTTTATTACAAACCTGTCAGTAATCCAACATTTGGCAGGGCTGTTCTTAATGTTTCTAAAGATTAGGCTTTGAACTAGCATTGTTATATGAGGCGACACTTTATGAAGTACAATTTCAGATTATGCAAGACCCGTAGGGTTGAAGTATAAGATGAATTGTACGAATAAATGGAGACGAATATAACAATGCTCCCCCCCTCACCACCCGTTGTTATTATGTTGTTTGTATTTTATTTCTTTTTAGATTCGCTCAGCTAAAAGACGAAGTATGCGGGGCGGACGTGGTGTTTACCAGGGGTTAGACAGTGGAACCCAGTCTTTATATTATTTTGTTATAGTTACTTTAAATTCGCTGTATTTTTGAGTGAAGTAATAAAGATATAGCATTGTTATATTCGTCTCCATTTATTCGTACAATTCATCTTATACTTCAACCCTACGGGTCTTGCATAATCTGAAATTATTATTTATTTAAAAGAATTCACAGTCTGTGATTGGCTAATAGCCATGTGTGAAATTGTCATATCCAACGTGTGACGTCATAACGTGTGATACGACTTTTTTTAGCGTGATAAATAGTCGTATCCCACGTTTGACGTCACAGCGATGGCGAAGACATCAACGTCCCAAAGGAGCGAGAATGTGAAATCGACACAAATTCAAGCGAACAAAGTTGTAATTTTCATTCTTTTAAATAAATAATAAAACAATTATTGAATTCGGTTTTCACATGATATGAAAAATCATCAAGCCTCAGTTTGTCATTATCAACCTCAGCCTTCGGCTTGATAATTCTTCATATCATGTTCAACCTCATTCAATAATTGTTAATTATTATTTATTGTTAAATGAGTCAAGAGTTTTGATTGGCCAGCAGCTGTTGGCGAAATCGTCATATCCGCTCGGCAGCTGCCCAAATTTGGACAGTGACGTCACTTCGTCGGATATGAAAAAAATTATTGCACGTTTGACGTCACTTCGTCAGATATGAAAAAAATTATTGCACGGTATGACGTCACGCTAATTTATGCGGCTTGTGCCAAAACCTAAAAGCGGGAAAATACGAATGTCTAAAAATGTCTACAACGCAAGCGTTTAGTCTAAGCCCAAAATTTTTGCAAATAAATAATAAAACAATTATTGAATTTGGTTCTCGCAGGATATAAGGAATTATCAAGGCCTCGGTTTGTGTTATCCGCCTCAGCCTTCGGCTTCGGCAGATAACACAAACCTCGGCCTTAATAATTCCTCATATCCTGCTCAACCTCATTCAATAATTGTTTAATATCTTATGAAATGAATGAAAATTTCGAGATCGGGTTTTTTGCATTTTCTAAAAATTTCGTCATTTCCGATCATAAATATACCAACTTTGTCGAAAAATTCGAACTAGAAATTTGTGAAATTTACAATTAAAGTTCGATTTTGAGACTATTTACTGGCGAAAGACTGGTACCTAGAATTTTGGCCCTTGTGACGTATGTAGTGTAACACGTCAACGTGTTTTAGTATAGCAAAATAACAAAGATCACGCAATCACGCAAAGCTTTTTTAATATTGTGCCTAAAAAATGTCTGATAACGAAAGTTTCGAGTCACAGACGGAGACAGAAGGGTGATCAGATAATGACGACATCACTGAGCAATCGTCTGTTGTTCAGCCTTACCAATTTGAGCCACTGGCAGATAGCGAATATGTGGAAGACGAAACAGACGAAGACGGTATTCTTCGCGAAATGTTTGAATCGAGATTTAAGTGAGATTTACAATGTGATATCGTGTTCTGAAGCACGATTTCTCAAAGTGTGCTGAGCATAATACTGCGTAGGAGTAAAATTCAGCCGATTTTTTCGCACGAATTTACCCACATTTTCATCTGTTCTTCATTTGCGGGAAACGTATGCATCGATATCCCCTCAACGTGATATGTATTCATGCGACTGCGCAATGCAGGAGCTCCGCAGACGCAAAATTTCCCCTCTTCGCTCTCTTCGTGCTGGAAGCCATGCTTGTTGAATTCAAAATGCTTAGTAACTCATAACGCAGTGTTTTTATAGGGCAAGATTGTACCGATTGCGTGCGAGTGCAGGTTTGAATTTTGTGACGTGAGGGAAATGCGGTAGCCAAGACTAGATGCACTGTGTCACTGTGTCTGTCGCGCAAAGCAAGCACGCAATTCTAGCTGATGTTTTCTAATCTAAGTAGAGGGGAGAAAATACTAATCAAATTCCGGTTTATTTTAAGTGCAAAAACACGCAATGTCAGCATAACGAGTGATTGTAAGTGAACGCAAATTATATAATAAGTATATCGCGTTTGAAGCAGTTACAAATTCCATAACATTAATTATGGTATACCATGCACGCGTATGCGGTGTAATGTCAATATGGTATGATGTCAGTAATATAGATAGATAGCCTACATATTCAGTCCTAATGTAGATATTTCGTATTCATTTTAGGAATGCAATTTTCTAGTATTAATTACTACTCTACATTGTTTACAATAGTTGATATCATACTTTTACATAATATGCGGTATGTATGCGGTACGTCTGAAACCTCAAGATGCGGTATATAGTCTCTCGCGGCATAAAAAGTGCATTTTTGGCTGCTATACGATTCTTCATGTTGTAATTATATTCTGTCTATAAATTAAAATTCGTGACTACAAAAAGCGGATTCGTCAAAATAGCTCCGGAATCCCAATTCTACATAGACGCAGCTATAACATCGTAGTAATACATATCAAAAGATCGAGCTGTGTCACACTTCCTACGTCATTGGCCGCGCGATGGAATGTTAGGAATTTCGCTAGTAAAGAGTCTAAAAATCGAACTTTAATCGTAAATTTCACAAACTTCTAGTCCGAATTTTTCGACAAGGTCTGTATATTTATGATCGGAAAACACGAATTCTTCAGAAAATGCAAAAAACCCGATAGCGAAATTCTCATTTCTATACACTTTTCCAGTATCAGTATCACACAAGACCACAACGCGACGAAGCGCTGTGCAGTGCCAGGCATTTAATAATGCAAGTTTATTCAATACGACGCCACAGCGCTGTTCCGCACCTACATGCACATACAACCATGCAACCATTTCTACTTTACCGTGTTGTTGATAAATCATTTATAATCACAAACGTACTAGTTCAAAATTTAGAATGTGATAAGCTACATGGTCAAAACCATATGTAGACGAATATGTCGAACATAAACAAAATCACGCCTTACTTAAGTGCATCGAAAATGGGAAAATACACTGGAAAATATTTATGTGGCAAAAAGCGCGTGTACAAGAGCTGTTTTCTGGTTAATACCCTGTATTTATAATAACAGACGGATGATGCGTCTCTATATAGTCACACGAGGGTCTTAAACTGTAGTTTGAAAATTTGTTGCTGCAGGATATGACTCCAATGGCATAGGAAGGTCGGTAACATCATATTATTATGGCGATGAGTTAACAATTTCGGAATTGTATTCCTTATGTTTAAAGAAGCGAGAAATGTGCAATGTATTTCAAGTATCACTATCACACGAGTATACTGACAACGCCACCATTTCGGCATTATGCAGACCAATATTTGGCCATCATGCAGATAGTCATAGACTAGCAACTACGTTTACGAATTTAACATCATGCGCGAAAATTTAAAAGCATGTCTCTTTTTATCGTAATGTGGAATCATAAATCAACGAATCATAAATCAACGAATCATATATCACATCTCAAACGCCTGAAACCTCACTTTAAGAACATTGAAAGGAAGAAAAAATGAAATTTGCAATTTTATTTCACGGCGCCACAGACAAAGCGCTGTGTTGTGGCAAGACCTTATACGACTGTGACGACTTCACTGTGTTGATGACATAAAATCATTTCTACCCTTCAAAAAACACGACTAACACTGACACAAACGTACCTTTTCAAATCATGAAAGCGATTATCTCAATACATGGCTAAAATTCCACACAAATTCACCAAAATTCCCAAAAGATACTCACGATGTAGATATATTAAAACCAAGACGGAAACTGATTGTAATTTAAAACCTCACAATCACTTAGTCTCAGGAGAGGTTTCATCACACGCATTGTTGACAGAATGCCAGGAATCATACTTTAAATTAAAATATTTTCTTGTGCAGGGATCAGCCATGACGGTGTTAGGGAAGCTGGAAATTTTTTTATAAACGCGCAATGGCTCGTCTAACTTGGCTGAGAATTTATGTTGTGTTAATACGTAAAA